AACCTCTGAAACACCACCGACATCTGAAACTCTACAGATAAATCCCAAACCCCTAAACCTACATCTGAAATTCTACATCCGAAGACAAGCCCCGAAGTTGCAGAGCCCGGGCCTTGCAGGTTGCAGAAGCTGGCCCCGGCCTCTGCTTCTCTGGCTTGAAGTGGTTCAGGGTTTACGGTTTAGGGCTTTAGGAGTTTAGGGGTTTAGGGTTCAGGGGTTTAGGGGTTTAGGGGTTTAGGGGTTTAGGGCTTTAGGGTTTAGGGGTTTAGGGTTCAGGGATGTAGGGCTTGAAGAGCGGCGAAGGATCATGGGACTCAGTTAAGGTCCAATCCAATGGGCCCACCTCCTAGTTTGGGGACTACCAGTAGGTTTTCTTTTTTTGGCGCCTCTTTTAGGGTTTAGGGTTAAGGGTTTCCCTAGTTTGGGGACTACCAGTAGGGTTGGAGGACTGAGGGTTCATGGTCACTTCTACTTGGGTGACAAGTACCCGAACTGGGGTGACCCTACTTACAACCCTACTTGCAACCGCATCACGAAGTCCCCTGATCCTTAAGGAGGGCACCCCAAAACCTGAAACCCTAAACCCTTACTTTAACCCCTAAACTCTGGGTTTACCAGAGGCCGCAGGGCTTGGAGCATGAGGGCCCATTTTATGGGGTGTGCCTCGGGGTTGGTTCGCGGGGGTGGCGTTTAGTAGGAAGCTAGAGGATGTTGGCTTTAGGATCCCGAAATTTAGGGATTAGGGGTTTAGGGGCTTAGGGGCATCCGAGGATGTTCGATTGCTTCACGTGGAGTATGTCCGGTTCTACCGCTTGGAAATCCTGGCTCGGTGTTTTGCATTAGGGTTTAGGGTTCAGGCTCCTGAAAGCACGGTTCTAAACCCACCGCTTTTTGCGTGGGTTAAGGACAACTAAGGTCGGGATGCGTACTAGGGCATAAAATTTAAATAATCTGCATACATCGGGATTCCAGTGCTTTGGGGTGCGCGTTGTAGTACTTGAAAAACTCCACATAGTCTCCTCTAAGGGTACGCAGTTGGGATGAAACGGTAAGATGAGGTTTTTGGGTTCCTGTGGTCTAGCATAATTAGGGGTCTTGCTAATTAGAGATGCTAATTAGAGATTAGATCACGGTTATGGGCGATATTGTACATTGTAGTATGCTCTTCTTACGGACTACACGGGGATGCTTTTTTAGAATACTACGTAGATATGTGCTAATTATTCCGATTCTTGTATTCGGATTTCAGGCTTGGGGTTTGACCGCCTCCAGAGCGATGACTGTCCCTGCAGCATAGTCCCAGGGCTTGCCACCTGGCAGGGAACACCGGACGTCTGCAAACACATACGTAGATACATACATTCATACATGCATACATACATACATGCATGTATGCAACATACAAACATACGTACATGGACACATAGAGGACATTCAAAGCCACGGTTTAGAGTTTAGAGTATGGTTTAAGTAGGCTTTGACTGCATTCAATGGAGTCTGCATGGCTCGGATTTACCCGGGATTTGGGGCCTCTAGGGTTTGGCTCACTGGCCCAAAACCCAAGGAGATAAACGTTTAAACTTTCAGCGTCGACTACCTTATAAGAACCCGAAAAGTTGAAAAGTTGACTTCACAGCCAATAAGTTGGAACCAAAGGAACGGGCTTGACTGGACATGAGGAGACTTCGCCTCTGCTCACCCAGTGCTGAAGGGTTTAGGGTTTAGGGTTTAATGGAGTTTCGAGTGAGCCAACCTGCTCACAGGTATCTGTGTAGAAATTAGGTTGCTGTCCATGCCATGTCAACGTACTATAGTAAGAAGTCACATAAGTATCTGGGCTCCTGAAGGATAACCCACTATGACACGCTTTCGCAGACTGAGAATCCTGTCAATGCTGCCTTCTCCGCTCATGCCAGTGTAGTAAGCGCTGGCACGGCCGCATGCGACCCAGCAGAGTGATAGAACTGCGGTACCTCTCCAACTCGCAAATGGCTGAAAAACCCTGCCAAAGGGCCCCAGGGCTGCTAAACCCTAAACCCCAACACGGCAACTTCAGGCTGGACTGATATCTGTGCTAGGACAGTGAATGCCTGGGACGCTAGCACCAATGTAAGGAAGACAGATGGATTCCTGTTGAAGACCCGGCGCGAAAGGAGCACATCCAACACCTCGCCTGTAGAGTTCTGTTGGCTTTGGAATCTTGGTATCGAAGTTTACGGTTACATGCCGAATCGATAAAAAGTTCTCACAAAGCTCCTCTTGGTGTGAAACCGCATGTGGCATCGTTTGTGAAACCGAACCCCCCGCCGAAGAGGAAAAGTCAAATACGTGGCCGCAGGACTTTGCGGGTTACTTGGCTATTGTCAACTGTCTCCCCTAATACCTCGAAAACTTTGACTCCCTGAAACGGACTGAACAAGCTATGGGCACCGATCGTGCGCGTCGCGCGAACGCCACCCAGCATCAAGGAGCGCAGTCCTCCGAGCATCTTGGCCACGCCCTCCTGAGACGAGGCTTTTGGGATGTAGGGCTTTCGGCCCTAAGCCCTAAACCCTAACCCTGAAATTTAGGGTTTAATTTGGGGTTTGGGGTACTTAGGGGCTTCGGTCCATCCGGAGCCTTCTGAGGGGTCCTGAGGGGGCTGTAGACCCAGAGCCCTGGGATCCCGAAAGTAGAACCCCGAATTTGGGAACCTATCTATATCAAGGGGTACTTTATAGACACCCCCCCATTCAGGGATCAAGTTATCTATCAAAGGTGGTGCTTCATAGGAACCCCCCATTAAGGGATGTACTTGTTGGAACCTTCTCACTCATCTGAGGTCTTGCAACACCTTAAGTTTAGGGTTTAGGGTTTAGGGTTTTTTTTGACACCTTTTTCCGACTGCATGTTTGCTGTCGGAGAGCCCACACGGGGCAGGGGTTTAAGGTTTAGGGTTTAGGGTTCACCGGCTAGCTAATAGGACCTTCAAACTACCTCGTGGCGCGTAACGCAGTATCCCAATTGCCAATGTTCAGCTGGAGATCTGGGGATAACCAAGTCAGTACTTTGGATATGAACACTTTTCATCCCAAAATCTGGCTGACCTAATTCCAACCCTAAACCCTAAACCCACTATGCCCCCAAACCGCAACACTCAAAGCTCTGACCGTTGAGCCCATTGAACCCATGTTGCCGACATAACTGTCCTCCGTTCTTGAAGCCCGCATACACCATGCAGTACCCAAGACCAAATTACATACCCCTCGATGAGAAGCAATCTCCGCTACTGCGCACCATAAGAGCGGCATGAAAGCCTACCTGGGACCCAAACCCGTTCACCAGAACTAAGTACAGTATATCCATTGTATACCCATGCCGGAAGACAAGACGATCGCATGCCCTTACTTTCGGTGGACTGGGTTCTATTTGTTAGATCCTTTAACAGGTCTGGGTATGCGAAAAGTATAGTGGAGCTTCATCAGAATAGAGTTTTCTGATAGTAGCAAGTATAAAGGCTTTCAGTAGCCAATGGATAGTATTGGTGTTTGTTTGGGCCAATAAATTACTTCGTCCTTCAGGTGGGTGGAAGCTGGGGATTTCCTGACATTGCTGGCCTCCGACCGCTCGTAGCCCAGCTCGAAGAGTACCATGGCCTGTGCCAGCCTGGAGTTTAGAATTTAGGGTTCAGGGCTTGGGGTTTTGGGTTTAGGCTTTACGGTTCCCTTTTGTAAGTTAAGTGTATGGGAACATTACGGTCAGGCTGTGTACCTTGCTCTCGGGCACAGGGACTCTGCAGGCTTTGTAAGGCAGCATACTCTTGAAAGAGTAGCAAGAAGAAAGGTTTGTGAGAATAGTAACGTCGTCCTCAGTTGTTACGTCATGATTTGTTGAAGGGCCCGCAAACTGCAAACTCGAATATCTCAGAAATGTCAAGGTGAAGAGATAAGAGGAACGGCAACTAGTGCTCATAATCGCAATCATATGTGTACTTCTCCAAATTAGGGTCCCTGTTTCTCGTCCCTTTTCATAAGAGTGCCATGCTATTTTGGGGACCTAAACGGGGACCCCAATTTAGAGAACTACACCTACAGGGATCTCGGTCGTTTGCTTGAAGGGGTTTAGGGTTTAGGGTTAGAAGAGCTCATCCGGCAAACGGAAACTCTATAGGACCACAGTTCTTAAATGTACATCGGATGCGGCTTGTTGTGCTTTGTAGGGTTTGGAACGCTAGTGATCCTGAGGGATCAGTTCCCATACTTCACATTCACATGCTTGTCTGATTCCTAAGCAGCACCCAATAATACGCGTAAACTGCATGCACCACGACGCCCTAAGTCCCACGCCGGCCGTAGAATTACGGAGAGGGCTTGTGAGGTGGAGAAGGCAAAGACTCCAAAACAAGTTTAGCAAAGGTCCCTTACTTTTGGGTTTATACGGTTGAGGGTCCAGAGTTTGGGTTTGAGGCTGTTTCTGGGATCTTTGTCAAGGGTATACAAGGAGGCACTGCGAGGGGACGGTGTCTACTTCAAGCCACAGAACTTTGGAGATGCTTGCAGCAGTCTTTGTTTAACTCCTTGTTGTTGCTTCGAGGAATGATCACGCATGAGGGATTTCCCAGCATGTTGGTATGCAAGGTTCAACGACTCGCGAACAAGAATTGCTCATACTTCGTCCTCTAGACTCGGTTGGAGGTTTTAAACGCACTCGCACGAAAAGCTCAAAAGGCATAAAGTACAAGCTCCTCAGTCTGGGCACCATCCTCAATTGCAGGATCTCACAACTGGCATTGCAGTAAACTTCCTACCGTCGTAGTAGCTTGGAGACATAAAGATGTAGAAGAAGCACCCTAAAGCATCACTGCAGCAACTGCAGCAGAGAAGCTTTGTGGCATCGTCCACCTTCCATGCAGTCGATTAAAGGGCTACCCTAAAACTCTAAACACTCAAACCCTAAAACCCTGAACCCTATAACCCTATAAACCCTAAAACCCTAAAGCCCTAAACCCCTTCAATTTCGGGCTTCAGGCTTGGACATATTTTGGACAGTCGCTGGTGGCCCGCAAAACCTAAAAGCTCCAGTACCTTTCCCTGTAGGTCCGTGTACCCCTTGTAGTAGACACTGCGGCATTCAAACGGGTTCCTATGAAGGCAGTGTAGGCAGTGTAGGTCAAAGAGAATTATATAGAGGGATACTATGGGTTACATGTATCTGGGCTATGAAGGCAGTGTAGGCAGTGTAGGTCAAAGAGAAATGTATAGAGGGATACTATGGGTTACATGTATCTGGGCTTCCAACTTCCGGCAAGGATGCTTTTTCTTAACCGCGGCCTGTAGATATTGAAGATCAGGGCACTCCTTCCCTGAAGCACCTGACTAGTTAGGAAATGAAGGTTACTAGGTAAAAAGTCCCAAAGCTTTCAAACCCTAATCCCTGAAAAGCAAACACCCTGAAAGCGTCTTCAAAATCCATGCCTACAGGCCAACGTCCGCTCACCGCTTGGATATCTTGAACGGCTTGGGTTCTTCAGTTTGAGATTCCGGGAAACTCGGTTGCTAAACACTAGGTAAAGACCGGATGGTTATGCATCCGAGAGCATGTACCCTCAGCCCGAGAGAAAGCCTGAACCCACAAAAGCAAGCATTTAGACAAATAAACAAACAACAGCTACTGAAGCTCACTGCTGAAGTGCTCAAGCAAGGCTCGGCCTAAGCTGCGCTACTGTTGCTTTAGTCGGATTTAGCCTTTAGGAATTTGGGTTTACGGTTTGCGGCTTTGGGTTAGGCAGGCGTTTAGGGTCTGGTCGTTTAGGGTTTAAGGTTTAGGGCCCTAAACCTGTGAACCCTAAACCCATGCACGAACGGGATGCAGCCTGAATTCTCTGCCCGTTGAGGTAGGCGCCTGCACAAGCTCAGGCTTAATCCCTGGACTCGAGACTCAGAGCTGTGGCCGGATGCACTGAACGAAGCCCAATATCAATATCAATATCAATATCTATATCTGTATGCATGTGTATATATATATATATATATATGAACGCATGCAAATACACACATATATCTATCCTTATACATACATGTGTATATATATATATATATGTATGTATGTATGTATGTATGTATGTATGTATGTACGTATGTACATTATATGTAAGTATGTAGGTATGTAGGTATGTAGGTATGTAGGTATGTAAGCATGTAGGTATGTATGAAGGTATGTATGCACATGTGCGTATGTGCGTGTATGTATGTATATATATATATATACGTGTGCGCACACACCCACACGCAAACGCACAATCACCGCCTACCTGTGCCTACTTTGGGGTCAACTGAACCTCATGGTCTGCTGAGCTAAGGGACGTCATGGATAGCCTATGTCACAAGCCACAGATGCAACTACTACACTTGAGTGAGACAGTTGGTGCTGCGATCGCCACCACGACCTGCTCAAGGCCCCGCAATCCACCTACAGCACCCCCAGAAACTGAACTACTCGGACGCTCATACAGGCACAACTTCATGGTAAAATTTCGCAATCCCTGTCAGCCCACGGATCCCGACCCAGTTCAGATAAGCCTTCTCCCTCTGCAGCCACAAAGAGTTCGTCAGCATAAGGGTCGTACCTTATAAGGTTAGACGGTTTAGGGATTAGGGTTAGGAGAATTTCAAACTGTGATGGACTGAAGCATGTATGATGATCCGGTGTAGAATTACGCCGATAAACAGTTAAGCGAGGGAGGCACAAAATGCACTGCAGCTGTCGCGACCCTACACCCCGACTCGGAAAATTATGAAAGATGCACGCACAAGTCCCCTGAGGCCAGTAGACTGACCACCGGTTGAGGGACTGGCTCTCGACTACTCAGAACATACTCAGAACCATCAAAAACGACCCTGAACATTAGGCCAAGCTTCCTGAAAACGGGTCCTTTAGGGGCTCTGTGGGTTACTCTAAGGGTATTATGACATAGGGACCTGAAGCCTTCGAACAGGATTTCGGGGTATGATATACTATACTTCTGGCAAGGAGCCCTCATAATGAGGTTCCTGGAGACTCCTGTATTGTTTCAGGGTACAGAGAGCAGTGACTTCGGAATGTCTTGAGGACCTGTCGGGTTTGTTGCTTGCATGGAAAAGAACACTCCAATACCTTCGAAGCAGACCTGGATGCAAGGCTGCAGCACGCTTTTTGCGGGCAGACGTCAGAATCTCATACTGCCTGCCTCATGAAATCACAGTTCCAGGGTGCATGAAAGGGCTGAGCCAAACAGTCTAAACCCTGCTGTTTCAGTATCTGGTACCTGCTTGTCACCACCATACAAGATGCAAAAGCGACTCTACGAATAACAGCAACACATCAAAGTGAACCTGCACGAGATACTACCAGTTATGAAGAACAACCACTCTATAGCGCTATTCAAAACAGGGTCAGCAAGCTACCCTAGACCGCAAACTTGAAGCTCGAAGCTGCACATACACCTAGGGGCTGAGTACCCTAGCCCAAAAAGGTTAACCTTCTGAATTATAGTAGGGTTATATAAGCCCAAAAAGGTTAGCCTGTTGAATTATAGTAGGATTATATAAGCCCCAAAGAGGTTAACCTGTTGAATTATAGTAGGATTATATAAGCCCTTCAAAAAGGTTAGCCTTTTGAATTATAGCAGGATGATAGGTGAAATAAGGTTGCCTACTCAGCCCGTATTGGTACATATTTGCGGCCATGCGACACCACACCGACCACAGGCCGACGTCCTGCGCTGCTGAATGCGGCGAGGGGCTTCGAAACATTACTTGGAGGTTCATGGGACTTAATAAGTACAGTTTTCAGTACCCTAATTGGGGTTTTCAGTATAGTTTCCTTTTTTATAACCCTAATTTATGAGCCTTTAAGTATACAGGATTTTACGGCCTGACTCGGGCGTGAGGTGTGTTTGTTTCGGAAGGAGGGGGGGGGCACAGGCCGAAGCTTGTTTTAAGTCGCGGCGTCGGGGGAAAGAACTGAAGCTTTGGGGTTTGTTCTTCGCTAGGTCTTGAGGGTCTAGGGTTGACCAAGTTGGGCAATATATGTTTTTCGGGTTGCGGTGTTTGAGGCCCGGTCTGGGTTCGTAAGGATGCTGAGGCTTTAGAGGTGTTGGAGTGCTTACTTCTGGGCTTCCGGTGAGGCTCAAGCGCTGGGCGGGGAGCTTAGGACTTCAGGGTTAAGGGCTTTAGGAGTGAGGTTGTCGTGCTTCGGGGTTCAAGTGTCTAGTGTGTATGTAAGGGGATGAAGGTTCGAGGTTACGGAGTTTTAGGGTTTAGGGTTGAGGGCTCAAGAAAGTGACAGACGAAAGGCTAATGGTTTGGGGGTTTAGGATTTAGTGTGTTGGAGCCTCGTCTTAGAAGTGTCTGCATAAATATAATGTATGGGATGCAAGTTGACGAAGCCTGTCAAGTAGGAGCCGCTAACATGCCTGTAGACTGACTCACTGGCTCCCTTAACCCAAACAACGCCCAGATCCTGCCTATGCTCCTTGTTACGTTAGGAGTCGGGGCACTTGGGATTCGCAAGAAAAGCACACTGTGCAGAGGCGGCTGGTACCCTGCGAAGGCCCTAAGCACACCAAGTGAGGCCCTCGCCGATGCATAAGCCAAGGCTGACCTGAGTCTTCGGCGTTCTATGTAGAGGCAACACTGACGGGATTGGGGTATGTATGTGCGGGACTGCAAAGAGGTGCTATGACTAACCTAAATTGTCAGGAGGGGTTGGGGTTGGCTGAGGAACTTGCGGGGAATTTATGGGAGCAGGTTTCAGGGCCTAAACCCGAAACCCCTAAACCCCCAAACCCGGGCCTAAACCCGAAACCCCTAAACCCCCGAACCGAAACCCTAAACCCTAAACCCTAAACCCTAAACCCTAAAACCCTAAACCCTAAACCCCCAAACCCGAAACCCTGATCCTTGGAACTGACAGGTTCTCCTCTGGGGGTCTAAGCGCTCGACTCCAGGTCAGAGTAGCTCCTTTAAGGGTTCCTTTCATGGGCTCCTTTAAGCGTTCGTTGAAGGGTTTCTGTGAGGTTCCTGCAAGGGTTCTACAAGGGCTTAGGAACTTCTGGGGCTTATGGTTTCTAGCCGATGAGGGGGTTGGAACTGATAGGCTTTAAGGATTATCCGGGTTCCGGGTTGAGTTCCTATGTAGCCTGCCATGAACATTGCTATTGTCGTAAAAACTGGGTAATCGAGGAAGAGTTACATTGAAGAGAGCATGGAACGTTTGCTCTCGTAGCACACCCTAGCTGCTCGCACGCAAGACACAGCAGAACCTGAACCCTAAAACCAAAGCTCCTAAGCCCCAAACCCCAAAGCCCTGTCGCCAAAGCCTCCAAAGCTTCAGCCCCAAGCTTTAAACCCAAAGCCCCTGAAGCAGAGGATGTCAAACACCCCTGCACTCAGCTTCGCGATGAAGAACAGAAGGTCAAACACTTTGGCGTAACGTCTTCAGCAGCTTTGAAGGGATAAGTACTACTTCGAGGCTCAGGGGACATAGTTCGTGTACAAAGAGTCATGAGTAACGCAACTGCATCAGAGGCACTTAAAAACCAGCGACAATCAATCTGAGCTGAGTCCCCGGATGCCTCATCTAGGACATCCTGGAGGGATGACAACAACGCGAAGCGCAGTCAAGTTGCACAGCTCAGCTTGATGCCGTAAACGAAGTTGGTGGTGCCATCGATGGGATCCTCTCCGACGGCCAGAAACATGAGGGCTTAGGTTGGCCTTTGTGTTGTTCGAACGCAGGTGTCTGAAGGACTTCTGGCTCACACATGTATGCTTGAATCTGAAATCATTAAACCCTGCCGCACGAATGTTAGGGGTCTCGGGACCGGACACCCTCACAACGACATCCTATAAAACTGCTAAGCCCCTACATCCTGCACCCTACAGGATCTAGGGCTTATAAGTACTTCTAAGACTCACCGAGTTTAGGGTCCCCATATATCCTGAACACTACTTGTACCGTGCACTGATTCTACCGACACCCAAAGTGCGTCTCGGGAGGCACGAGAAGCGAGCTAGGAAAGAGGAGGCTGTTTGCAGTCATGCAGCGACAATCCAAGTCGGCGCATCCTCGGCGAAGCCTAAACCCTCAACCCTATAAGCCCCATAAAGCCTTCTAAGCCCTCTAAGCCCGGTAAACTCTATAGACCCAAAACCCCAGACCCTAAACCCTAAACCTTCAAGCATAAACCCTACAGCCAGGTTTATGGTTTCAGGCGTTCGAGGGTCCTTCTTCTTCCTGAAAGCTCGTGCTGAGGATCCCTTGAATTTTTGGGTTTCGGTTTTGTGATTTTGTGAGCTGGGGCTTTAACCCGGTTTAGGGTTTAGGGTTATCCTGATCCTGTCCCATGAAAGCCAAGGATAAGTAGGGCCCTAGGGGACGACCAGGGTTTTGCAAGGCCTGTTATGTATATGGGTTTAGGGTTCCATCAAGGGTTTGAGGGCCCGGGCACGCGCAAGTCTCGTGTAAACCCGCAGCTCCGACCTTTTCCAAGACCCAACTCCCAAACTCTTTCTCTGAAGATGGTTTAGGGTTTAGGATTTTTGGTTTGGGGTTTTGGGTTGAGGGTTCAGGGTGAAATTCTGACTCCTGACCCTCATCGCTAAACCCTAGAATCACTAGAACCCTTGCACCGTTATACTCCCCTAAAAAGTAAACTACAGAAGTACAATCCGGGACCCAAGTTTGAATTGTTGGGTGCTTGAAACACCCGAAAAGACCCCTCAAACGACTTGTATAACCCTCCTCGAAGAACCCTTTCTGGGCCCATAATTACAGGCTGCTGATGAACCTTTGGGGTTAGTGAGCAGCGCTCTTGCAGTGCCTAGTATCCGTCAACTTGGGGGTAGATCCCAACGCTGCCGCAGCCTGCCGGCAGCACGAGGCTATACATGTTTAATATCATATGTGTGTATACACTTATACAAGACATATGAACGAACACACAGACAACCATACATGTATATGCATACCTGGTTACCTGTCTCTGTATTTCATGTACAAGTACGGAGAGAGAGAGAGAGAGAGAGAGAGAGAGAGATAAAGAGAGAGAGAGAGAGAGGGAGAAGTGGACTGGCCTAGCCTGTGGTGGTCGCACAGGTCAGACGCACGCATTCGTGTTGAGAGAGGCGACAGAGAGATAGATAGGGAGGGAGAAGGCAGCAGAGAGAGAGAGAGGGCGAGCGAGCCCCTCTCCAAGGGCTTCAGGTGCTTTTGCTTCACGATCTTACAGTTGATGCCCCAGGATATTTTTGAGTGGCCTCAACACCAAGGTCGAGGTTAAAGCTTTTCAGCAAAGCCGGGATGGAAATCTGCCTAGCCTTCCCCAAGAACCCTTCCCGTGCGAACCGTTCCCAACACGACAGAAAAATCACAAGACCATGAAATCCCAGCTCTCTTGAGGATCGGCTGTTGTCAATATTGCCGCCTCTCCCGCCCCGAACTGGACCTCCTTCCGACCCGCCCCCGTCGAACCGTCCTCAGACTGACCAGTAACAAGACAATGCAATGACAACATATGTAGTTGTTCATCACACCAGTCTATATCCTGAAGATTCTCGTAAAGCTACTACTCAAACACAAGCCAGAAGAAGCCACAGTCACCACTATCAAAACTTCTCCGACATATATATATATATATATATACACATACATACATACATACATACATACATACATACATACATACATACATACATACATACATGTATGCATAAATACAGACATAAGTGAATACACTCCCGCAAATTCTGATGCAACTCCGACCTCATCCAGGGACTACAGGGACCGTATGGAGTAGGGGCCGAGCTCGTGGGGGGCGACAGTCGCAATCTCCAGATACTTCTACCTAAATCAAAGGGGTCAGTAAGTAACAGATTTATTCGACCACTGTATTACCGTGATAAAGCCCAGGTAAACGTGGATTGTGGCATTGCCCGAGGGTCCCAGAACAGCCTCCAGATTTCTGAAACTTCACTAAAGCCACATGCACTGAACAAAACAAGACAGACGCAGACATCACACGGCAAGCATCTATGCCTGGAGAAAGCCCAAGCAGACGAGTTTACTTGTAATCGCAACAACACAAGTAGGACACAGTTGATATCAAGCCTAAACATAAACTCTCAACCCAACCCGCCTCTTCACCGATGACCTGGTGAGAGGGAAATGCCGATTTCAGGCCTCGCCATCAAGGGCACACAGGGCAAATGGACATCTCCAACTGGCTCGTTAAAGGGAACAAACATCCCATCGTAGAGTCCTTCTCATTATGACGTTCTACTTTCCGACGCATTCCTAACCCTAAACCCTATCACCCCAAACCCTAAACTGGCCCTAAACCCTAAACCCTAAAACCCTAAACCTGAATGGCTCTCCGGATCGAGGTTGCGGGTCACAGGGCCGTAAGGATCCGACATCTCCCACAGGATCTTAAGTACCTGTTTTAGTAGAATGTAGGGTTTCTATGGTAGACATTGCTATTATGTTATGGGCAGGTATCCACCATAACAGTACCTAGGACCCTTCGGGTCTGTGAGTGCTTTCCGGATTGTGACGCCCTAAAGCCTCTGGATGTTCCTGCCGCTGCTCCCCGTCGAAGATCTTTGCAGATGAGATGTCGGATTTCTTAAACTACTACAATTTTTGTCTTTGAGCAGTGACATAGACACCTGAAAAATTAAAATTGAACCTTTGGCTCTGCGGGCTTCTATCTTCAGGGCAGGCCAATGCAACAATAAAAACTAGCTGTTCATGCCCCGAGACTACACTTTCTCAATCAAGCCCCCCCCAAGCCTTACAAACACCCAAAACAATCCCATCAAATATCTCCTACTTGAGAGTATAGAAGGCCTAGTTGCTACTCTGTTGGTAGTTTGGACCCTTTGGGCTGGGGATGCCGAAGGCTTTTGGTCCGAGCCCTGCAGCCTTCCACCACCAGCTTCTCGTTGTCGCGGTCCGTGGCAGTGACCGGGTCGATACTGGAGGCATCTTTCCACAGAACCTGACGACGCCACGGAAAATAGGGGCCTCAATGATTAGAATGGGGCATTGGCAGATGTCGCACAATAGTTAGAACCAGAACCCTAAATCCTAAATCGATCTCGCAGTGACAACACTCGCACCAACCAAACGCCAAGCCCAAAGCCCGCAATATAGGGGACTGAAAAACCAACAATAATGTCCCCCTACCTTCCTGTGTCTCGCTTCTCAAGCACTACTCTACTCAAAGCCGCCCCTATCCTTCCAGACCCTGCTTGTTGCGAATAGGGCCCAAGACGCTCGGTCCAATCAAGTCTCTAGGGCCAACTCGCATGGACACACCCGCGCGAAGAGCCACTCACTGCCTTGTCAGGTACATTGGAACTTTAAAGTCCCTAACTCTAAACCCCTAAACCCGCAAATTTGACCCTAAGACCCCAAGCCCTGAGCCCTAACGTCTCAACAGTGAGGCTCCGAAAACACCGAAAATCCCAACCCTAAAGCATCTTTCCCTTCAGCTCCAAATTGCGCTGCCTTTTTTTGGAAGCATTGGCGCATGGCTGCACCACACCTCAGAGGCTGCACCCGGGCTTAGCTATGAGTCGGGTTTAGGGTTTAGGGTTTAGGGTTTAGTCGCTTTTCCCGCCGACAGACCTCAAATCCTGGACACCAATTACGACCATGCTATGGAGCCTTCGTGTCATAACGAACATAAGATTTTGGGGGGTCTAAGTACGTAATATAAACAAGACAACCTGAAAAACCAATCCGGCTGTGACCTGTACCGGAAATCGCCGACCCAAAGCCCGACTTGAAAAAACAAAATCCTGACGCCCTACAGCTCAAAGGCCGTAGAGTGCCGTAATGCTCCGGGGCCCTCAGTCCCCACCAAACCTTCCAACAAAAAGGGTTTATAAGGTTTACCTTAACCCCAAATAACCTACCTTTTTAAGGACCTTTTAGTAAGGAACCCTACAAAGGTAGGTTCTTGAGGCTCCAGGTAGGGTTTAGCCATCGCCTTCAGGTCCATGTGCCTATGTTGCCCTCGAGCGAACTTTTTCGGATGTGATTGCAAAACACATCCGGCAGAGGGTAAGGCCGTTGGATAGGGGCCGCTATAACTAGAATGATCTTCTATGATACATGCATAACAAGAAACTCCGTGAGGAGTCATGTTGCCAATTATTCAGCTTCTATAAATTCTGGAACCAGTGTAGTATCCCTTTTAAGAACCCTGAATCGTCCTACTCCAATAGTAAAGCTCTGAAGCCCTGACAAACAGCAACGCTTCCACGGCGCCTCAAAGCCAGATCCACAGCGACCTCTCCGGCTCAAGGCAGGAGGTTGCTACTTCAAGGTAAGTATTTATGTTGGAGTTGGGCTTATGAGGTTAACATGTTTTGAGTAGCAAAGAGTTGTTTTGGCGTTCCTATAAGGTTTGTATTAGGGGTTTGAAATAGTTTTCAGTCCTATGGAACCACTTGTATGTGAAAGTTCTTGGCGGCTTGGGGCTCCGGGCCTAGCACACCTAATTTAGGGGCCTTACTAATTTCAATAGGGTTTTGGGGTTAATTATACTATATTTATAATATAAGGAACTCACCAAAACAGCGTAATTATTTATGCCCCTAGATTAACCCCAACCCCTAAATCCTGCACCCTTGGTTTACCATGAGGCTCCGAGCATACGTGTGAATCCTCCACTGGGCAGATCTCTGAATGAGGACCCCTTCTAGAGTCCCCAAACTAGTACGGCAACCTTAAAAGAGGACACCTCATCTCTACTGAGCCTGCAGCCTGAACGCAGAAACCCCAATACCAGAAAACCTGGACCCCTAAACCACTAAGCCGCTATGGTCCTAAACGCTGTGCACCTCTTCCACCATTCCGGGCAAACTTAACTTTCGCCTGCGAAACTCTCGCAATGAATTATCAACCTGGTACGCTGCCAAGCTACGACCGAGCAAATTTTGGCTAGGTTCTGCCTAATAACAGGACTGACAGGAAAAGTTTGTAATCAAACCACAAACCTGACTTGAGGGAAAGAAAGGGCCTATAACAGTGCAAGTTGGAGAAAAGCATCTAAAGGTTCAAACCCATTATTTTTCTTGACACCTCACTGCAGCATGCCTACAATAACATGTGATAACTGAAGTATCTTCCCGAACCCTACAAGCACTAAACCCTTCCCGGCCCTAGCTGTAATCTCCACTGTAGTAGGGTCGCTTTTTGCTGTAATTTGCCGTAGGACCCCCGTTCCAGCATGGTTAACACACACAGGGAACTACGTTGGGGTCTTAGGTACAAGCCCGGGTATAGGCCTGAACCCTAAACCCTAAGCCTTAAGCCGAGTACTGACCTTGGCTTCCTTGGCATGGCGGCTGCTCGACGAGAGAGGTGAAGTGCGCCGCTTCTTCTGGTGCTAGGGGCTTGGCTCGGTGTTCATGGTGCGCGGTTTATGGTTGCGGGATTTGGGGCTTATGGCTTAGGGTCGTGCGGTTTCGGTTTGTGGGGTGTAGGGTTTATGGCTTTCGGATTGCAGCGGGAGGTTATGGTTCGGGCAGGCAGTTGGCAGCCCCTGAGAATGCTACGGAGAACCTTAAACCCAAACCCTAAACCGCTGCTACTGCTTCAGGCTTCGGATCGAAACCCTAAGCCCTAAACCCTTAAAGATCTCAAGCTCAACTCCTCATCCAGCAAGCTGAACTCATGGGCTGGTTCCCAACCTGCTAAGTTTAGGGTTTATAGTGTTTAGTTAGGGTTTAGGGTTTAGGGTTTAGGGCTAAGTTCTAGCACTGATTTCGACCTTGCGGTGTTACGGCTATAGGTCCCTGGGACGTTAAGAGTAACATGCTTAGTAAGCCTTTCCGGATTTTTGTAAACTACAACGGCTAAAGGAAAGCTCAGATGGCAGAAGCCACATGAAATTGTGCAGGTTTTCCTCGAGTAAAAAGGTACTGAAGAATTCCCAACGTTCAAAGAGAGCAAAGTTCACACATATCTGCCGTGACTTGAGGCCACCAAAGAGGCTAGAGCTTATAATGTTTTATGGTAGGGTATGGGGTTTGGGATGATGTGAATTTCCTGGACTACATCCTGGAGCCCTACACCTAACCAGAATCCTAAAAGATGTCTCTGAATCACTGAAAGCCCTTAAACCCAAAGGCCCTACAGCCCTGCATTGCAAAAGGCTGACTGAAATCCATCATTTCTCTGGCCCCTACACTTGTCGCGGCCCCGCCCAAACAATAAACCCCAAACCCGAAAAGCCAAACCTTAACCCCTCTTTCTACATTCGCCGAACCTCAGAGAGGAGCTGCTTGCCTCGGATGATCGCCTTGTTAGCTATAGGCGAAGTGAGCAAGAGCTCAGTGTGGAGGCCCGACATAGTACCAGAGTAAGGGTTTAGGGGTTTGGCATCTTACAGGTTTAGGGGGTTGAGGGTTTGGCGGGTTTAAGCGTTCGGGTTTACGTTTTAGGGGTTCAAGGGCTTAGGGTTTAGGGGATCTATGGCGTAGGGGCTTCGAGTTTCGGGGCTTATAGCGGTTTGAGGGTTCAGGGGCTCAGGGGCTAGGGGTTTAGGGGTCTAAGGGAGGAGCAAGCCCTTATAGGGCTTTTGCATCGCTGCAGAAAATACGGAGGTAATCCTAAACCCTAAACCCTAAATCCTAAACTCCGAAGCCCGACGAATGAGGGGTAGGGGCACATCCCAGGCAACGAAGTATTCCCGACTGAGGGTGGAGCTTTTCTCTGTTTTCTTGGGTGAGACGCCGTTTTGCTACGTAGAAAGGACGCTCCCTCCTCCTAATCATAGAAGATACTGTTGATGGACAAAATTCTGCATGACCCAAATATAGTACGGTACCATAAACCCCATAGTTTAGGTATATAAGGTCATGCAGGATTTTGTCCATCAACCGTAGCTCCTGTTCAACACCTCAGTCTAAGACTGGACGATTGAGTGGGGACCAGGGTGCGATAAGGTGGAGAACGCCCAGCTCTTTGCCCTTGACTGACATCGGAGACGGCAAACCCCTAAACTCTAAACCCCAAACCCCAAACCCTAAACCGGAAACCCTAAACCCTAAACTCAAAACTCTAAACCCTAAGCAGCGAGAAGTAGCACATTCCAGGTCCAGTGTTATTGAAGGAAGTTGAGGGCCTCAACCCCTGGCCCCCAACATGAGCTGAACAGGAACCTTTCGGTAATATCGGGGCCTTAATAATTAGAATAGGGTTAATAATTAGAATAGGGTTTTGGGTTATATTATATTA